TTGAATATTTTTTCAATCATGTTAAGTTTATTAATTTAATTTTAAATTTTAAATTTTAAATTTTATTATAATAAAAACTTTTTAAAAATAATTATATTTAATTTTGTATTACAAGTAAAAAAAAATTAGATAAAATTATATTTAAATTTAAATTAAAAATTTAAATTAACGAATTAATGGATTATTCTTTTGCTCTGGGTTTTTTTTTTTTTTTTTGTTTAAATGAAACTTCACTGGCTATGAGACGTTTGACTTGCGGGCGCACCGACCCCAAACGGTAAACCTGACCCATTACGCCGGACATGTGTCAGTCATATTAGCTCCTCTCCTCTCTGATCTCGCTTTTTCCATCATTAAATTAAATAAAGTAAACAAGACAGACCCAACACATTAAAAACAAAACTCGGTCCCACTTTACATTAAAAACAAAGTGGGTCCCACCACTTAAGGAATGCTTCCGAAACGAAGAGAAATCCACTAACTACGATCTGCGGAGTCCACGTGCTGTCTCGGAGCACGAGTTTCAGGATCTTGGCAGCCTGTGGTTCCACCACGTGGCCTTAGGAATGACGGGTCCCTCTGGCCTCGGTTTCCTCGTTCTAACTTCTAACCAAACTGTTATATTAATTTCGTTAATTAATTTTTAAACGGCGTTAAGAGTACGGAAAAGGCAGTCGTTAGTTTAACCATGGTTTGGTTAAGATGTCTTGCTTTTGAAGAGGGTGTCTGTTCGCGGTGCGTTGAGTTTGGTAAGGGGTTAGCGTCCACCGCCATTCATCTCACGTTTCGTTTGTTTCACTCACTAGTCTTTGTCGTTTTGTTTGGGTCCCACTATGAGTCTATGAGGCGTAGCCAGCGCTGGGCTTCTCATTCGTACAAGTTGCGTGTGCCGGAAAATGGAGTCGCCTTTTGGAAATGGTCTGTGTTTGGATGCAGACTTTGCAGATGGCTCAATGAGTAGACTATTATCTCATTTCTTCTTTCAATTCATTTATTACCTTAATTTTACGACTTCAAAACAAAGTCACGAGAAATCGTGATTTCACTCATTTAAATTTTTATAAAAATATCACATCAAATTTTTTTTATTAAAGTTAAAATTTTTTAAAAAATATCACATTTTAATTTTAATTAAAAATTTAAATCTGTGAAGTGAACGAACATAAAATATAATATTCAGACTCATATAATAAAAATCTTTAATTTTAAACAGAGACGAAAATATCCTTATTTTATAAATAAAATAAACAAGGTTTGACTTTTTGTATAAACATATGCATATGTACATATAACATAGAAATGTCATGTGTATCCGTTCACTGGAGACTTTGGCAAAAGGCTTATCCCTTTTCCGTGAGAATTTGCCAAAGATTCGGGAGTTGGTAGACTTACGGGTGTATGTCTTTTGGTCCTTTACTTGGAAATCGTCTAAAGACAACATATTATAGTATTTTGGGACACGTTTTCGTGGAAATTATGAACGGTTGAATCTTGAATGTAACTAATTATGGCTCCGTTCACTTCGCTGATTCGAGTTTAGAATTCGAGTTTTTTTACAGTAAAAAGTTCTCACAAACAATCACATCTAACTTTTTTGCTACAGTAAAAAGCTCTCACATAAAGTCACATCTCAACTCAAATTTTAAATTCGAATCAGCGAAGTGAACGGGGCCTTTTGCTACAGTAAAAAGTTCTCACATAAAGTCACATCTCAACTCGAATTTTAAATTCGAATCAGCGAAGTGAACGGGGCCATATTTATTTACATGCAACGTAAAGAAGGAGCAACCAACATGTGTCGCCACCTTATCTTTTGCTACACTTACAAGATTTTCAAATAATGATATTTTT